TACTGTTTAGGTGAGCAAATAGCGTTCAACACTTTTCTTATCTCCATATTGGCAGTGAAAAGAAAATAATTGTATCAATCATCACTAGTAATGAACAACCCCAAAATGATGCAACATTTCTGCATTGAATTTATTTTCCAGTATTCTATACATTTCCAGAACTATGAGATTCCAAAGATAGAGAATTTCCTACTCTACAAAATCTCAAGTTAAGGGATTTTATTACAAAACACCAACGAACACGACACTAGTTAAGAAGATTTGGAAAATAATCAACATATTCTTTTGAGTGAATTAAATTGTCATTGTCATCCGAAAAAATAATTTTACACACATTCGAGCAGATCATTCGCAAATCTTGATCACTAAAATTGTTTGTAATATCTATAAGATTTTTGAGAGGTATGTGTAATGTTTGAATCATTGGCACCATAAGTGGCATACGCTTTCCAAAATCTCTGTCCATATTTCCTTCACTTAAAGCAAACATGTTGACCCTATCCAATGTCAACTGTCGATCGTGTGTTAATTGGTTATCTAATGAGCAATTTGCGGCCATCCCAAGTATATTTAAATTAACAAATTCCTTTTTGATTAGTTTAAAAAATTCAACTGAATACTGTTGATGATTAATATCGTGCAAAAGTAGAAATTGAACATTTATCCAATCATAACGCATCGTTTGTGTCAAATAATTTTGTTTATAATTGAAAAATGTGTTCGGAATATAAATAAGAGTTTCATATTTAAATGGTAAACTGAACACATGACAACAATAATACAGACCATTATGAATCGAATTTATGGAACAACCAATCTTCCATCCTGTTCGAAGCCAGTACTCAGACTGAAAGGTTTTATAATATTGTCAGTTGTTGGATTTGAAAGTATAAAATCAGACGCTATAGTAGAGTTAAAGTAAAAGGATGAGTGAATAAATGACTGTGCTCCTCGTATGCCGAGGCATAAATGCTCTTTTTCTTTTCTGTTCTACTTCGGAACAAGTGGCCATCTTTTTTTCTTTCTTTATATATACACATCGGTCGACTTTCTTATGCAGTTTCTTGCGAGATTCTTATTTCTTATCATTTCAACCAAGGTTCTTGAAACTTTTCTTGTAGCTGCGCCAAGGTTCTCATTTTAATTTCACCTCTATACTATTTTAAACGTTGTAATGATTTTTACGTAACATCAATGTAATCTGTTTTTTCGTAAATACTTTTCTGTGCTTCTCTATTTTTGTGTTTTCTTCAACAAAAGCGAAACAATGGAACAAAAAGTCACTGATGCAAACACATTGCCAAATTTTCTAGGAGACCAGTCTCAACAAAACGCGAAATTTTTAGTTTTTTTAAAAGAACTGTGAAAAATGCATTTTCTTTTATAGAAAAAACTGGAGAAAACGTGATTTTATCAAGGACAATTGGAAACGAAGAAAAAATACTGGCGATTCCTTTCGTTTTCTTGACTATTCGAGAAGAAAACCGGTTTAAACGCTTCTGAACAAAAACGCATTGGCCTTCGTTTTATTTTTGGTTGGATTTGAACATCATTTTGGGTTCATCAGATGAATATTCTTTGTCAAAAAACGCTTTCGAAATAACGCTTTTTTCACAGCTCTTTTAAAAAAATAAAAATTTCGCGTTTTGTTGAGACTGCTCTAGTAGAAAATTTGACAATGGGAAGCTACTCTAATTGAACGTGAAATAAGATACTTTATACTTGGAAGTAGTGAAATTGTACTTTTATGGGAAAAAGAGGTCGAACTCTATATAATAAGATCGAGTTAGTTTTGTAAAACCTGGTTGAATTGCTGAACTGTTAGCTAAGGACAGTGCATTAAAGTGTATCGTTTTACATCAATGGTATTTCAAGCATATATTGTAGGCCAAATTAGAATTCAGCTAGATTTTGTCGACAACACAGACTTTACTTTTTTCTGATCATGTTTGAATGAAATCACTTGCCAGTCACTGTGACTGACAAATGCGCACAAAGTGATAAAATGATCATTTTACTCACTAACACATAGTCACTTTTGCATTGTGTTTTCTCTTGCGTATAAATCACGTTATAAAGGAACATTCTGTTTCCTCTCTTTATATATCTATCGTTGTCAAGATATTTGTCTTTTTCTTTGTGATTTCCACCAGGAAACAGAATGCAAAAGTGACTATGTGTCAGTGAGTAAAATGATCATTTTATCACTTTGTGCGCATTTGTGATCATTTTATGCTCCTTTGTGAATCCATATAAAGCATAATCAAAAAAAAAATAAATTATATCTGAGTATAGTAACGAAAAAGATGACAAAATGGCTGCAATCGATGAAAGAGGTAGGTTCAATGGGGGTCCTATAAAAGAAACTTTCATCTGCAGTTTTTATGAGAGTGCCAAAATAAAAAGACACTGCCTGGACTGTTCAGTATTGTGCAAAAATATATTACAAAATATTATTATTTGATTTTCATATTCTCGCATAAGTTTTTTCTTTTGGATGATAAAGAAGCCCGAGCCAATATTTCTTTCCTGCGTCTTTTTGTGCTGTGATTTGTTCGGGGAAAAACGCTCTAGACGTACGATGTATCTTCTGAAAATTCTAGTGAGGATCCGGCTATGAAAATGAGAGACCGTCTCTCTCAACACGGAACATGCGCTCCCTCGCGATGCTTCTCTCTCTGTTTTTTTTTCTAAAAGACAGGAAAGTTTATGCAAAACTACTTTGGTAATATCTGAATGCGCCCGGGCCTCTTCGTTTCCTTTGCATATCACGCTGTTCCTTACAGGCTGGGGGGCCTTCTTGAACCAGACCAATCAATCGAACGTGATGCCGTCCGTTAACAATATGTTGAGTTACCTCGTGCTTATTTATTTCAAAGAATCCAAATTCTTTTCTTAGAATGTCTTCAAAATCATTTTTGCTAATCCATAAAATTAGATTCTTAGATGATTGACTAAAAGTAGTTGAATTTTAGATGACTGATTGGACGAGTTTTATAAGTATTTCTCCAGTTTTCTAAATTTCTCATCATCCGCCGGTATCTGGCCATGATGTTCCTCTATGTATTCTATCAAATGCAGATGCCGAGTGATATACACGAAGATCTTTGTCGAATATCGTCCGAGAACAGTGTCATTGCGGTTAATCAGTGTGAAGGGATGGTATTATTGTTGTATCATGAAGTCTTATATTCGGTCGATGAGATGATGAAAGTTGTTGTGTAAGCTGTGGTTGTGGTTGTTGTGTTATGTGAAATAATGTCGATTGTTTCGAGTTGTTCGGTGTTCTGTGCTGTGATAAAAGTTTAAACTCAAGAAGCTGTTGTTGAAGAGAATCAATTGTTCTTGCTTGCAGTTCTATTTGCTGTTTTAGAATGTCATAAAGTGATGCTGTAGTTGTTAGTTTTACATCTCCTATTGTTTCTTGTTTGTGTACTGAATTATGTAACCCTGTCTGATTTGATTGTGGGCAATGTATTTGATGAACTGTTGGTAGTGATTTATTATGGTGTATTTGAGTTTTGTACGACATGCTGTTGATTGAAGGCAAATATGAGCATACACCAAAACACCAAATTGCCCCGCACCTCCATCAAAAATGTAACGATGTTTTTTTATTCATCTTAATCTTCAGTAAAGAGAAGAAGTCGATAACAAAAGAAGCTAAATTAGAACTAAATTAAGAAAGGTTTGACCGTTATTTCTATTTTTGTAAAACTGATTCGTTTCTTCCAACTAGACTATTTCATTTCTGTAACAACTAGTAGTATGGCGCTATGAATATTTGAGAATGTTTTGAGTTTGTCTCTTTTCGATCGTTACAAAATCACTTGGAGACGTATTCGAGAGATAGAGAATTATGAAACAGACGTATGTTGTTCAGGAGTATTTAAGTTGGTACGAAGAACGCAAAATGTCTGAGTTATTTCCTTGTATTTAATTCATACTGTAGATGATTCCTTCTCTGTATGTGTGTGTGCGTCGGCAGCTGATGTTTCATGATTAATAATATTATGAAAAACGCATGTGACAATCTGAATAATGAGAATTATAGCAGTATTATATACTAAATAAATATTTTACCTTCAATTTAACATCAGCAATCAAGCACGTGAAAACAACCATTTTTTTCTATGTCTAAATCCAAACTGATTCAGATAGATTCAACGTTTGTTGTTTTGTTTTTGTGACGCATATTTTGTGAAACAGTTACATTGACTATTCTATAATATATGCAGTAAACTTTTTATATAATAGAATATTATATATAGAATAGAATGCAGGAAAAAACCATTATCATCAATGTGCTGCTCGTTTGGCACCGAGTTGTTCGAATCGTGAATCATTCAAACTCTAGGTAGATCGCTGAAATCTTTTTTCCTTTTAGTTTTTATTTTCATTAAATGGTTGGTTTATATCTTTTTTGATTCCTAATAAAAGGCCGGCGGTCAAATGACCATTATAGGCCTAGCAATACAAATGGAAACAGTTGATGAATATAGTGATAAAATGACATAAAAATAGAACAACGAAAATAAAATGACGGAGATAGACAGGCCCGACGTTGAAGGGAGTATGGACATCATAAGAGAAAACGAGTAATATGTGCTGCTAGTTATTTAAATCTGTTCGTTTGTTGAATATATGTAATGACCGCATCTAGTAAAATGGTTTATTTGGATTTTTAAAACAATTTGTTTTCTCAGTAAATTACAACAACTAAATATAATGAATTTATATGTGAAGAATTATCCAAATATATTTTAGAATTCTCTGTGATGGAAATCCACAGATTATTCATATTTCAAACTAATTTTAGTGCTCTATGTGCTATATTAAATAGTTCTACTCGTCAACTACATCTAGGATGTTTAGACAAAAACGTTATGTGTTTTTTGCTACTGTGCAGTTAACTAGTTCGTTAAAAACTCGTCGAATTCTGAATTAGCTAAATATTGCTATTAGTTAATAAGGCTCTTCACACTGTCTAGGACATGAGCCACAACATTTCAGTGTACCTGGACAATTTGCGTCATCCGAACAACTAGCCTTGCATAAACCTGTTCCACCTGCATTACGTTTTTTACAACATCCAGATTTATACATCGGACAACATATTCCATCATCATACTTGTTCTCCTGACCATCCTTCTGAACAACAATACATGTTGTATTTCCTTCGCATTTCAATTGTTCTTTACCACCACACGTTCCAGTTGAATATCCAAAGGGACATTTACTTTCTTTACATTCACATATTGTACAGTTCTCATTATTTGTTTTAAAACCATAATCACACTTTCGTTTACAACCTAATGTTTCACAAGCACATTGACATGTTTGACATCCATAATCATTTTGTTTGAAACCATATGCACATTGTGTACTGCATTTTACTAGTGGACAATTACATTCACAACCCATACATCCGTATTCATCGGCCTTATAACCCAAATCTCCACATTGCTGCCAACATCGACGTAATGGACAATTGCATTCACATAATGGACAGCCTTGTTCATCTGTTTTGTAACCCCAATTACCACAATTTCTTTTACATGTAATTTGTTTTAGACATAAGCATGTACATGTAGGACAACCGTTATCGTCTAATATATAGCCATTATCACA